TCCCTGGGCGATGGTAACAACACAGTCTCTGCTAAAATGACCAATCTGGCCGCACTTGAAACACCCAGCATCGCCACCACTTCTACGCCTACACACACCCATGTGCGTCCTTCCGCACTTCCCGCATCGACTGCGGCTCTGATAGTTCCTCGTCCTCAAATCTGAACCCTTGGGCCTCTTACTTGAACCTGTGGCAACCTGAGTCTCATCCATTTTCCTCTTCCCTTTCGGCTCCCTGCCCGACTCTCGCTCCTGTGTTACCCCAACGGTAACGTCTGCTGACTGAACAACAGATGTCTAATCCTGAAGCCTCGCTATCAATCTATCAGTGATCCTCACGACCATGTCTGGCAGACCCTCGTGAATGGCTCGCAAAACTTCCTCAACTATCCAATCATGCAATGGTTTCTCTTGGAGACAGAATGCCCCACACACCCCTGCCCCCTGATAGCAGAAACTAGAAATGGGATCTCCCTCCCTGATGGATCCCTGAACTCCATAGGATTCGGGACCTAGACGAGCCCCAATCTGTCCTGAAGCTAATCCGGCCCTAAAGGCCTCAAGATGACTGTCCATGAGCTCCACAATAGCCTCTCTAACTAAACCGAAAATCACTGGAGTCTGATCGATGATGTTGCGCATAATCTCTGCGGAAATGAAATCCCTCATCTGATCATCAAGCTGCCCGGCTCTAAAGCCCGAGCCAGAACCCTCCCCTGCACCTGAACTGCCAACTGATATCTCGCGCAACGTCACCATGCTGAAAAATATAACAATCCCTGATCAATTACATACTACTGCTGAGGGATCTCTCACATACTCTACTAGTTCCCTGGTTTCGCCTCGGCCCCTCTTGAATGGAGTACGGATCCTCTGCTTTCAGTAGTATGGGCCCCTACTACCTTCCACATCTATCCGTACTTTCCTCAAGAGTTACCTCAACTCCACCAAGTCCCCTTTACTCTTCTACTGATCTCTGCTACTCTCATCCTAGGCTTGCCCTAGGGAACCTCTAACTCTACCCAAACAGTCCTCAGCTGCCGAAGGCCTCCTTGTAATGCCAATTAGTCACCACCTGAATACCATCACATGTGACGAGGCTCAGATAATCCTTCAAGTAAAGGACTCGTCCCTACAACGGTTGGACTCAAACAAGAGCTGCGCAGTAGGGCCAAATCCAGCACTCTGAGATTATTCAACCCTGATCACATGTAATGTGACGTATTCACTAATGGCTAACTCTCATCACTCAGAGTTCTACAAAGCACGAAGCAAGCAACATTCGGATAAGGGAAACATACTCAGGCAAAACTATTCTCATAACAAGAAACTGCACTAGCATACAATGCTAAGCTCATACTATCAGGCATAACCTACCCAGGCTATCCTACTACTGTCTACTCATTACTAACATGCAATTCTCATCAAGCTGGAACACATAAAGCAGGCACATAAGGCATCATCCTAGATCCTTAGTCCTATTCTAGCATGCTGTTCTACTGAAGCTGGAACTGAAACTGAACTGAAACTGATACTGAAACTGATATCGAAAATAATAACATAACTTGTATGGGTAAATTGGGAGTACTTACTTGAGCTCGGCTGATTGCATGCACCACACCCTTTTCTCGTTTTAAAAAAAAAATCTTTTCTTTCTATGTTCTTTTTCCAAAACCCTTTTTCAAAAATGTTTTTCTTTTGAAAATCCCTTATCGTGCCCTTAGTTTGAGTTCAGATACACTCGAATGCATATCTGAATCCCTCAAACCAAGGCTCTGATACCAACTTGTAACGACCCAAAAATCACGACCAAAAATTTCTTTAAAAGCATTACTAGAATCATATTTATAAAAACTGTATCATAATTCATAACATAAATTCTCGAGTATTAATTCAAAACATAATATCATTATCAGAGTCGATCATTCCCAGGCTAACTGACTACGGTGTGTGCACTATAATCTCCCCGAGCTCCTCTTTTGAAAACCGGGTACCTGAAACCAAAACTGAAAACCGTAAGCACGAAGCTTAGTGAGCTCCCCCAATCTAACACATACCATACAAAATATATAAAGCACATACTGGGCCTTGCCCACTGCATCGGACCAATGTCCGGACTAACTGGGGCCTTGCCCCCTGCATCGGACCAAAGTCCGGAGACTGACTGGGACCTTGTCCCCTGCATCGGACCGAAGTCCGGACTAACTGGGGCCTTGCCCCCTGCATCGGACCGAAGTCCGGAGACTGACTGGGACCTTGTCCCCTGCATCGGACCGAAGTCCGGACTAACTGGGGCCTTGCCCCCTGCATCGGACCGAAGTCCGGGCTAACTGGGTGAACACAGCATAGCATAACATATCAACTAGCATGAACACATATACTGCATACTACATCGGGCCGTAGCCCGGAACACATAACACATAACACATAAAACATAGCACATAAATCCTGTCTGAGCCACGAAGGCATCAAACATGCTAACTACTGCATCGGAAACTACTGCTAACTGGACGGGCCGGCATTGTGGCCTTAGACCCGTCCCTACTGGAAGGAAACTCACCTGAGACTGCTGAACCCTACTGATAAATCTCTGGCTGCTACTCGACAATCCCCTGATCCGCTGCTCCTCCAGCTCTCCGAGCTATCAATATACATATAACACTTAGTCTGACAGTTAACTAAGTCAACTCTGGTCAAAGTTAACCTTACAGGTCAACCCTACTCGCCGAGTCTTCCTAAAGACTCGCCGAGTTCATAAACTCAGGGTCTTTCTTATTCGCGACCCGACTCGCCGAGTCAGTCCATGACTCGCCGAGTCCTAGACAATCTTCAACCAACTCGCCGAGTTGCTCATCCAACTCGCCGAGTCCATGCCTAACTTCATCCGACTCGACGAGTTGTTCATCCTACTCGTCGAGTTCCTCCTCATCTTCAAGCTACTCGCCGAGTCCACTCGAAGGACTCACCAAGTCCAGTCGGTTCTACATACATGCAGAGGACCTTTGAGTCATGCATGGACTCCAAACTGTAGATCCACTCTTTTAAGGTCTATTCCTTACGTAAAGTTGCAAACTTTACGTGTAGAGAAGGAGATCTAGGCAAGATACGCCATTAACTAGGGTGTAAGGCCAAGGGACTTCAAAATCAACACAATGACTGATACTTTATGCTTCTCCAGGCCCTAAAACACTTGAATCTGAAGTAGCAACTCCAGATCCGGCTTCTAACCCAAAATAATAACATTATGGCAAAAGAGCCCCAACAACCACACATAGATCTAGGTGCAAAAAGGGTCCAGGAACTAGTTTATTACCTCCAAGTGCTCAAAATGAACTCACAATCCCAGATCTATAGCTCCTTCTTGCTCCTCCAAGTTCCTTCTTCCTTTTCCAAGCTTTATAGCACCTTCCAAGGCTCAACTAGGAGATATGACGGCTAGGGTTTGATATCCAGGGCTAAAGAGGCAGTAAGGAACCCTGGGAAGAAGATTAAGACATTTATATAGGCCCCAAGTCCCGAATTTAGGGTTTTCCACGCACAGACCAGACTCGCCGAGTCCCCCTGGTCGGCTCGCCGAGTCGGTCACTTACTCCCCGACCCGGATCCCGCTCGGACTCGCCGAGTCCCTCCTTAGACTCGCCGAGTCGACCCCTAAACTTAGGGTTTTCTTTCCTTTTTTGGTCTTCGAAACTTTGGGTGTTACATATATATATAATATATATATATATATATATATATATATATATATATATATATATAATATATATATATATATATATATATATATATATATATATATATATATATATCCATGTTCTTTTTGGTGAATTAGTTAGTAGCTAAGCATACGATCTACTATAGTTTGAAATCTCTGTTTAATTTACAATGTTCAAATATATACTTTAGAATTTTCTGATAGAAGGAAAACATAAGTGCAATTGAACCTAAATCATCGTGAGGGAGGTGCAATGGGGAACTCCAATCGCCGATGTTATGAGCGTGAGGAATAACAGTCGGCGGCCCCGTGATGTGAGGTGTCATAGTCGTAGTCGCCTTTGCTCCCAATGATTTTGTGTGTCTCCGTTTAAAAGCAAGAAAAGCCTAGTTTTAATCGTGTGATTTTGTGAATGGGACATGTAGATTTGCAAAATTATAATGTGGCACCTTCCTAGTGGCATGCATATTTTGTTAGGGTATACTCCGTGTTTTTTTTAACTGCAAAATCAAATTATTGACATGCAAAAATGCATATCGCATAGCCTTTAAAATTTAGGAAATATGACATCGTTTTTATGATGTACACTTTTGCGTGTTATAAAAGGAGTGTGTGTCATAATTTGCTTGTCATTAAAGTCCTATATTCTAGTAGTGTATGTTTGCTATCATGAAATGAAGTGACAAGAAACAGAAAGCGAGTTACCTTTGGGTAAACGCGGTTAGAATTGGTATACACAATTTCAACCCCAATGCCAATGACAAAAATAATGCTTATTCAGAGACATATTTTGAAATGTTCGGGGGCAAACAGGCAGGAATAAGATGATTGCTAGGAATACCTGATGGTTGAATGCAATCAGCAATTCAAGTCAAGGTGAAGATTGTTAATGTATGGCTTGGAATTGGGTTATCCGAATGAATATCCTGAACCGCAATGAAGTGAAGAAAACCTGAATTGGGATTTCGAATGGATAAGTGTTTGGCCCTATATTTGCTTGGGTTTTTGGTTATAAATACTCATATTGTTTCATTGTAATCACTTTAACGGTCGAGTAATAACACGATTTCTTTGGTTCTGCCTGTGAATGTAGGTCACATCGATCAAATTATGTTAAATCTTTTAAATCTTTATGTCGTTTTATCACTTTATTTTGCTTTCTTGCATAACAATGCATTTAAATAGTAATTCAACATGTGTAATCTCGGTGAACAACCAAAATGTCTTTATACTTTAAATTTGTTTGTTAGCAATTTTTTTATTTAATCATATATATTATATAATTCCCGAGACTCCCTAATATATCTAGTAAATAATTAAAAAGCAAGGAAAAGAAACCATCGCTAACGTTTAATTTTGTTGTGTGTATATATACATATGCTTGGGAAGGAGTGCTATGTAGGGACTTCGCTTCTAAGTTTGCCATTTATATTATGGAGAAGCAGTATTGTGCAGTTTTAGTTATATTACTGCTTGCGACAGTTGTACCGTCTTGTTCTTCTTCCACCGGCTCTAGACAATTTCATTTCAATGTACTCTCTCTCTCTCTCTCTCTCTCTCTCTCTCTCTCTCTCTCTCTCTCTCTCACACACACACACACATCAGGAGTGTTTACAGAGTTCATAACTATGAAATTCGAGCATAGAACCTTTAATTGCAACTTCCATCAACTTAAACAATTATAGTGGAAAATCAGATTAAAGCTATGACTGAAATTGCTTATTTGGTTTTAAACTTTTGCGCAGGTCCAATGGAAGAACATAAGTCGTTTATGCAGTAGAAAAGAAATACTGACAGTCAATGGGGAGTATCCAGGACCAACAATTGCTGTAAATGAAGGAGAGAATGTGGCGATTAGAGTTACTAATGGAGTTTCTATAAACACCACCATCCACTGGTAAGTTGCCCCCTTTTCATTATTTCATTCAATTCAAATGTATTTATATTCTTTTAGATCCCTGCACTAGATATAACATATTTGCTGATGTGAGCAGGCATGGAATCAAGCAACTAAGAACTGGATGGGCAGATGGGCCAGCATATGTCACCCAGTGTCCCATAAGACCTGGTCAATCTTATACATACAAGTTCACAGTTAGTGGCCAAAGAGGAACCCTTTGGTGGCATGCTCACATTGCTTGGCAGAGAGCAACCATCTATGGTGCAATTATCATATACCCTCGTATGCCATACCCATTCTCAACTCCAATCCAAGCAGAAATCCCTATAATATTTGGTAATACTTATTCTTTGTCATATTTTGATGTTTCTTTCAATATTTATATATAACAGTCTATTGATTGATCCTTGTTTATATTTAATTACCAGGAGAATGGTGGAATTTACCTGTTGAAGGAATAGAAACTGAAATGAACAAGTATGGTAATGGTCCGAACTCATCAGATGCTTATACAATTAATGGTTTGCCTGGATCACTCTACCCATGCTCCGTTAGAGGTAAATTAAGATCATAACATAGCATCTAAAGTTAGCAAATACATGAAATCCTTTTACGTGAAATTTTGGAAGCATCCCATATTATTCTTATAAACTTACACTGACTGATTAAGCATACAAACAAAAGGTCATTGTACTGTTAAGCAAATAAATTATTCATAATATTACTTGTTGAAAATGACATAACAACACTCCTAATTAATATTAATAAAAAGTAAATATTTTTTAAAACATCCTTTGCCATGTATTCCACGTTGCAAATGATTTGAAGATGTTAGCCAGCCTGTACCACGCTGTAATTAAAGTTATATGGACTAAATGAAACCAAACTCGTGACATGATTTTACAATAACGTAGCTGCTTGTATTCTGGTTTCAAATAATACCGATTATTTGGTTAAATTTGTGTCGTCTATTGTGAAAATTAGCAGCGTACGTACTTTTTTTTTTCTATGATATATTTAACAATAGTTCTGAAAATATATTACGCAAACCTTCAAGAGCGTTGAAATAATAGTTCTCAAAATATTTTCTATGATATATTTATACTTTTTATTTTTAATCATAAAACATTTTTGATTAATAGATCAACGACGCTCTTACTAGCGTGGGTTAGACTCCCGGTCCAAAAAGAAAAACTATCATATATATTTCAGTACGTTAATTTAGGCGATATAAAACTAAAACTAGGACCGGATTTGTATCATTAAAATCTTTTCACATGCCACTTGATGAGTTGATGTATGCTGATTTTTCAAGTTATGATATATAAAGTAAAGTAAACTCTTTCCTCATCTCCCGAGGTACTTTTTGGGCACCAAAATGTTAAAAGAAATCAAATGCCAACTTATTACCTGTTTTACAAGCTACAAAATCGCTATAGTTAATAGAAAACGGTAATCAGAATTCTATAATATGTATAAATTATATGACATGTATCTATATTTTAATAGGAAATAATTCGTATATAATATTTTTTTTTTCCATATATAACAATTTATATAAAGTTATACAATACATTATTTTAAAATATAAAATCCATAATCAGAATTCTATTATATGTATAAATTATATGACATGAATCTATATTTTGACAGAAATAATTGTCATATATAATATTTTTTTTTCTATATATAACAATTTATATAAAGTTATACAATACATTATTTTAAAATAAAAAATGTTATGTATTGAAAAAAACTGTGAGTTCTCATATTTTGCAAGGTACGGGCAAATAACTGAAATTAATAAAAAATATCTGAAAATTAATTAAAAATAATTAAAAATGACTTTAACTTTCAAGCGGAATATTAAAAAATTAATAGTCAAAATGGGAAACTGAAAATTAGCGGTTTAAACAGTGAAATATATGAGGACCATAGGCTGGCAAGGCGCCTTCCTGGGCTTTTGGTTGATCTTGAAATTGCTGATGAATTAAAAGTTATATGTACTTATTTGAATTTTTCCATAATTTTTGTCTTTCTCTTACTAATCAATGAATGTTTTGGTTAGGTTTTCAGTCTGCTCCATATCAAACATTTACCTATATTTATTTGAAAAAAAATATTATTTTATCTCTCAATTTGCCAAATTTATATATAATAAGATAATTCCCCAATTCTACATTTTGAAAAAGGTATATAACATTGCAATACCATTTTACATGTGTTTTGTATTTAATAATAATAATAATAATAATAATAATAATAATAATAATAATAGTAAATTACTGAAATCGTCCCTATAATTTGGTCAAATTAAATATTTGGTCCTTTTTTTTTTTTTTTTGTATTCGGATCGTTCCTGTGGTTTGAATTTTTTGCGTTTTTCGTCTCTTACATACATAAAATTAGGGACCAAACATGCAATTTTTACTAAACTATAAGGACGATTTCAGTAATTTATTCTAATAATAACAATTACATGCTTTACTAAGGCTATGTTTGGCAGACTAGCTGTTAGCTGAAAAGCTAGCTGTTAGCTGAAAAGCTAGCTGATGGCTGAAAAACTAGCTGTTAAATAAAAAGCTAGCTGATAGCTGAACAACTAGCTGATAAAAAATAATGTTTGGTAAAACTAGCTAAAAAGTTAACTGAAATATATAAAATTACATAAAAAAAAACATGTAAGAATATGTGTTTCTATAATTGATTCATGGGTGTATTTGGAAAATTTTAAAAAAACTCATAAAAAACTAATCTAAGTAGCTTTTCAAAAAGCTAGCTTATAAGCTACTTTTTGGCTTACCAAACACGACAACATAAAAAAGCTCGAAAAATAAGGTAACTTATCAACTACATGTGGCGCGCCAAACACACCCTAAAACAATTTATAGAAGTATAGAACAAGAACATTAAACTCTTGTACCGTTTTAAAGGTTTAGTTTTTGTTAGAAATCAATATCTTTAAGATGATGAGGAATTATAATTTTAAGAATTTGTGTTACTTTACATGCAGATACTTTTATCCAGACTGTGGAACGCGGGAAGACATACATGCTTAGAATCATTAACGCAGCCCTTAACGATGAGCTCTTCTTCAGCATAGCCAACCATACACTTACAGTCGTTGAAATCGATGCCTCTTACACCAAACCCTTTGACACCGAAGCCATCATGATCACTCCCGGTCAAACTTCCACTGTGCTCTTCACTGCAAATCAAGACAAACATGACTCAACCGGACTGTTCGTTATGGCAGCCAGGCCTTACCTCACCACTGTATTCCCTTTCGACAACACTACCACAATTGGTTTCTTGAAATACAAAGGAACCCTTGCTGAAAATATGGTTCTCCCTGAACCATATAAACTTCGCTTGCCTTACCATCTTCCTCGTATGGAAGATCATGCATTTGCGACAAGTTTTTCAAATCAGCTTCGGAGTCTTGGAACCCCTAAGTACCCTTGTAGTGTACCAAAAAGAATTGATAAAAGAGTTGTCATCACCATAAGTCTTAATCTTCAAGATTGTCCTGTTAACCAGACATGCAAAGGGTATAACGGGAAGAGATTTGCAGCCTCTATGAACAACCAGTCCTTTATCCGTCCCTTAAACTCCATACTCGACTGGCATTACCGTAAATATTCTTCTACGCAGTACTCTTACGACTTCCCACAGAAGCCACCACATGTTTTCGACTATACAGGGGTGGATCCAATGACACATAACCTAAATCCAGAGTTTGGTACAAAGCTGTTTGCAGTGGAATACGGGACTAAGTTAGAAATTGTGCTTCAAGACACGAGTTTCCTTAACTTGGAAAATCACCCGATTCATATCCATGGTCATAACTTTTTCATCGTGGGTAGAGGGTTTGGGAATTATGATGCTGAGAAGGATACTGGCAGTTATAACCTTGTGGACCCCCCTGAGAGGAACACTGTTGCTGTACCAATGGGGGGATGGGCTGCTGTTAGAATTAATGCCGACAATCCAGGGGTATGGTTTATGCATTGTCATCTTGAAGAGCATACTTCATGGGGTCTTGCTGCAGGTTTCATTGTCAAAAATGGTGCAAAGCCATATCAAAAATTGCTTCCTCCACCTGATGATCTTCCAGCATGTTGACTTGCATACTTGCTAGTTTCTACATACAACAATAGGTTTTTAGCTTCCTGAACCTTTTCAGGTCAATAGCAGAGTAAGTACTGGACTTCTGTTAATAGCAAAGTATTAAACAGATGTTTAATTTCCCTATGTTGTCTACAATGTATTATAATTATTTAGCTGAACGAAGCTCAATTATATAAATTATCAGATTTTCAGTGAGAAAAGTGGCTATTGCTTCCATATCGTATGAACACATACGATGATGAATCAAAACATATGTGAAACAGGGGACGAAAATAGAACAGATTTGGGGCAATTTCTTGTTGTATATTATCCTCTAAAAGCACTGCAATCAAAAGGACTAAATATTGGAAAAAGAATAGTTCTCATAAAACACCTTATATTTTTTATTTTTCTATATTAAACCTCAATTTAATTTTTTTCCTAATATATATATATGCTTAGATTATTGTAGTAAAAGTAATTATTATTTTATTGTATGCATAAATAAATATGGATCAATCATTTTACTTACTTTAAGAAAATAATTAATACATATTATTGAATTAAAAATAATTGAAAAATATCATTCAATTTAACTAGAATGATATTTTAGTCAATTAATACATATTTAATAAAGAAAATTTGCATATTTTAAGGGATCATAGATTCTATTAATTTTAAAAATCCGATTTTTACTAATTATAAGGTTTCTAATTCGGATATTCTGACAGAATATGTTTGAGTATGTTAAAAAATAATAATATTCTAGAATAACAAATTTTCTTGATCATGACTTTAAAAATTGCTTGTATAATAACAAATTCTCGAACCAGCAATTGAAGAATTAAAACAAAAATTACATTAATTCTTATAGAATACATGTAACAATTGTTAAGAATTACATTTATTGTTAAAGAATAAAACTAAAAAAACTTTCAAATTGGGAAAAAAAAACATCAAAATCTAACAAATACACTAATTCATTTTAAAAGAATAATATTGCTAAGAAACACTTTTAATTTTGTTGACCGTTCTTCAAGCATCAACTTTTGTAAAAACAAATCCAATTATAGTTTAGAATCCAATAACGCATTAGCAAATGATAAATAAAAAACAATATTCCTTTGGAAAAATAAGCGGACTTATTAACTACATCATAACCAATAACCAAAAATTGTAGAACATGTATAATCAATGAGAAAAAATCCATATTCCATTCCAACAGAATTAGAATTCGTGTTTCCATTCCGATAGAATTTGAATTCGTGATTCTATTCCGATACAATTAATGTAACAGCCCGGAATTTCAAGTATTGTTAAAATTATATTTTAGGGGGTGTTTTAAGGGGGGACTCGGCGAGTTGGAGCCAGACTCGCCGAGTAGGATCGCAGACCTGGTCGCGGGTTCGCGACTGGACTCGACGAGTCCGATAGGGACTCGGCGAGTCTGCGCTGTTTAGCGAAAACCCTAGCCGTTTAGGTTTGGGACGTATAAAGGGGACTTATAGGCCGTCATTGTCCGTCTTTAGCCTACTGAGAAGAACCCTAATCGGTTGTGTGCATCTGGAGCAAGGATTGAAGGCCATTGGTGATCTTGAAGAAGTTATTGTGCAAGGAAGAGAAGGGTTTGGCTAAAGGAACAGCAAGGGAATCACATTCTGAGGATTGGAGACACAGAGAGCACATTATCCAGGTAAGGATTCGTGTATACTCTGCTATGGTGATGTATTTAGAGGATTAGGGTTTATGGAACCCTTTTATGGATAGATTGAATGTTACCCTTGTTCCCCAAGCGATTGTAACCCTGTATTAGGACCCTTGGAGGTCCAGAATATCCCATGTCTGTGCATTTCGGGAATTGGTGAAGGTTTTGGATTGAAATCCTTATGCCTTAGGTCAACATGTAAATTATAAGTTTTGGGGTGTAGCATGAGCACCTAAATGAAGACCTTATGTAATGGACCAGTCGAGGAAGGCCAGACCTATGAATGGTCGGAGCAGTTATGACCTTAGGAAGCAGTTTGAGCGGCTGCATGGCATGGACTCGCCGAGTCAGATGAGCAGACTCGGCGAGTAGCTTGAAGAATAACTGGGACTCGTCGAGTTGTTCATCAGACTCGGCGAGTGGAGTCGGGGTGGCCCCGCGATTCTTCCAGGAGTAACTCGTCGGGTCAAGGAGGATACTCGACGAGTAGAAGGGAAACCTTAGAGGATTGGAGGACGACTAGACTCGCCGAGTCGCCAGAGTACTCGCCGAGTCCGGTCGAGTTGACCGTGGACCGTTGACCAGAGTTGACCTATGTGTAATTTCTTAGGGTCAGTTTCTTGAAAGATAAAAGTATTAATAAGAGAATACATTACCCAGGGAGCTTGAAGCTCGGCGGATCAAGTGCAAGTGATTTCAGGAGTTGCTAATTTCCAGTATCCACGAGGTGAGTCTTCTCACTATACTGTACCCGGAAGGGTTTGACTGTGTGACCGGAAGGTCGGTATGATATGTGTTATAAGTACTATAATGGAAAGGTAATTGCTATGCGTGCTATGTATGTTTATATGGGCCGGAAGGCAATATGTTATGTGACCGAAAGGTCGGATATGTTATATGATATATGTGCTATGTGTGTTAGGATAAATGTATTATGTGCTGTGAATATGTTATGGGCCGGAAGGCAATACGTTATGGGCCGGAAGGCAATATGTTATGGGCCGGAAGGCAATATGTTACGGGCCGGAAGGCGATTATCTCATGGGCCGGAAGGCGTTGTATTGTGGACCGGAAGGTCAGGGCCTGGAAAGGCGTATATGCGTAAGTTGTATATTGGGGAACTCACTAAGCTTCGTGCTTACAGTGTTTGTGTTATGTTGTTTTCAGGTCCATTCAGTAACACGGGACGGCACCGGCTCGATTGTACACACCAGAGAAAGAGTTATGTTTTGGAGGATCCTGGTTTTCTATTCAAGTGAAAATGAACTATGTTTTGTAATTCAATTATGAATGAGATTTTAAACAAGTGTTCTAATAAAATGATTATTTTAAATGAAAATTTTGCCTTGAATTTACGGTGTTACAAATTGGTATCAGAGCCTTGGTTTGAGGGATTCGGATGCGCCTTCGGGTAAATCTGGACTCAAACTGAGGAAGTAAGAAAAAGTTTTCAAATAAATAGTTTTCTAAAAGTGAATAAGAGTTCAAAGAGAAAGCAAGAAAGATCAGTGTGTACAATCAGCCAGAGCCCGAACGGTGATTCCCTAAAATACCCTCATTTTTGTGTTATGAGATATGTATGATGCACTTTATGAGATATTATTGCATGCTAGAGACAGGCTAGGTATTTCATATGTTAGGACTAGAGTGGCCTGATTTGTGATGCCTTAGCCTAGGACTCGTTGTTATATGTGTTATGTTTTGAGTATGTGATGAGTGAGAGTATCCAGATAGAACCCATGAGGGGTAGAGTTACAGAGTTCGGTGGTACTTTCGAGGATGAGCTGGGAAGTTGGAGTTATCACAGGGAGGGAGTCCTATGTATTCTTCGATGCTCGAATGCTGCTTGCTTTGTGCTTTGTGGAACTCTCGATGATGGGAGTCAGCTACCAAGTGAATATGACGATATTCAGGAGGTAGATGGCTGGCATCATTAGGAACTCTTCAGCAGCTGAGAGCAAAGAAGTGGGAGGACGACGGAAGAGCCTAGGGAATAACCCTATCCAGATGAGTGCGCTGGTAGAGTAGAGGATTTCGCTGGGGAGCGAGCACGTACGATGGGATTGGTGAAAGAGCAGGTCGAGCAGCTACTTAGGAGCTCTGGGATGGTCCGTGTGGAAAGTATGGGTAGATGTGGCAGGTAGTATGGGCCCGTACTACTGAAAGCAGAGGACCCATACTTGATACAGGGAGCATTCTGAAGGTCCTAAGGAACAGATTGAGGAGTGATGCTATGGTTAGAGTACCATACATCGGAGCAGATTGAGGAGTGATGCTATGGTTCGAGTACCATACATCGGAACAGGTTGAGGAGTGATGCTATGGTTCAGGTACCATACATCGGAGCAGATTGAGGAGTGATGCTATGGTTCGAGTACCATACATCGGAGCAGGTTGAGGAGTGAAGCTATGGTTCGGGTACCATACACCGGAGCAGATTGAGAAGGTATGTCATGGGATGAGTACCATGGTTCGTGGTGAATGATGCTTGTGATTATCTTATTATCCGGTCATGATCGATGAGGTAGAGATCGGACGCTATGGGTTTTATGTAACATCCGGATTTTTACCAGGTATAATGTAAGTTTAATAGTGTTGTTTTGTAAGAGGGACTCGGCGAGTCAGGGCTCAGACTCGCCGAGTAGGGACGCGGGTTTGAGCGAAGGTGCGCGCTTGGACTCGGCGAGTCCAGGGCATGGACTCGGCGAGTCTGCGCTGTGTTAAGAAACCCTAAATCCCCGGGTTTGTGGCCTATTTAAGGGGCCTTATGGCTGTCGTTTGCGCTCATCCAACCCCCAGAGTGTGTCCCTAGAGTTCTTGAGCGTTTGGTGAAGGATTGAGAGCAAATCTTGACCTTGTGAGTGTTGTTTAGCAAGAAGAAGGAGGCTCTAGGCAAAAGGAGGCAAAGGAGGTTGCCATTTCGTGGATTTGGAGCTTGGATCATCACTTTAGAGGTAATATTTCGGACCATTTCCTGTTTGGTGAACTTGATGCAAGTTAGGGTTAAATATGATCATTTATGGGGTGATTTGGTGCCCTTTTTGTTCCCTCTTTGAGTTGAGACCATGGATCTGGATCCATAGAGGTCCAGGGGCCTCACTCATCAAGCTTTATGGGTAAAAATGGAGTCCTTGGCCTTGTGTTGAAGTAATAGAGTCAAAATCATCATTTGTGATCATGTAGAGGTTATTCATGCATCAAGACTGGGACTTTACGTGCTAAGTAAGCATGGGGGACTGGATCTATGGATTAGTGGACTGGATCTGGCCTTTAGAGCAAGATTGAGTTAGTGCATGGCATGGACTCGCCG